TATGAAGCCATACACAGAGCAATTCGTCAGCAGCAAGGAGCGGTTCAACAACAGGCTGAGCAAGTACAGAATGATTGTTGAGTGTGCTTTTGGCTATTCAAAGGCCCCCTGGTGCTACCTCTATGGGAAACCGGACCTGGCCGATGACAATATTCCTATGCTTATAGCCACATACTGTATGCTCCATAATATTTGTGAAGGGAAGAGTGAAAGCTTCACTCAGGGCTGGTCCGCAGAGACTCAGCACCTGGAGGCTGAGTTTGAACAGCCAGAGACCAGGACTATTAGAGGGGCACAGCGCGGGGCCATAAGGATCCAGGGATGCCTTGAGGCAGAAATTTGAAGCTGAAATCCACTAATATTTGTTGCTATGTTCGGGATTGCAGTGCTTGTAATGCTAGGAGGTGATTGGTGCAGATGATGAAATATGAAGGTTTAACATAATTGTTTGTTGCTTTGCCGGGCTCTGTTTGCTTTCAATTAATTAATAGAATAAAGATTGCTTTCAAACCTACACAATACTTTTATTAAAAAATAAGAACAGGAGGAGAGATTCAAACAAAGAAAAACATCAGCAGTGAGCGGGATGGGGGAAGGGAAGGTCCCAGGAGGAGGTGGGATCCCGGGATGGCTAAAGATTTGTGTATGTCCAGGGATCATATCCAACCTTCTCCTTGGGAGTACAATGCAGCGGATATTGTACTTCAGAAGGGCCAAACTGCAGCGGGATGGGTGTTGAGGGCAGTGGGTAGTGGGCGTCTGCAGTGCTGGACTGTGAGGGAGGAAGAGCGGAATGCCGTGGGTATAGACTGGAGCCAGGAGTAAGTGTGTTGGCGGTATCTATGGGAACATGGGAAAGAGTTTTGTGACAGCGGCTGCAGGGGAGGGCAGGCGCGGAACTGCTTGGTTTGTAGAGCTAATGTAGCCTGGAGTGTGTCTGCTTGGCGCTCCATAATGTTTAAGAGCCGCTCCGTGGCTTCATTCTGGCATGCCGCATTCTCCTTTCGGTGGTTCTTCTTGCTGTCCCGCCACTCCTTCAATTCCTGTTTCTTGGTCACGGAGTGCATCATAACATCATGCAGAAAGTGGCTAAATCAGTTACAAATCCTGGATCAGCAAATCCAGTGTATGGCCTGCCAAATAAAAGTTCAAAGGGAGAGAGACGGAGCCGGCCTCTAGGGGCAGTTCGAACTGCCAAGAGGGCCAAAGGCAGAGCCTGAAGCCATTTTAACCCAGTTTGAGCACACAGCTTAGAGAGTTTAAGTTTTAAAGTCTGGTTCATCCTTTCCACTTGTCCTGAAGATGGTGGTCTCCAAGGGGTGTATAGAAGCCAGTCAATACCTAGGGCTTTTGCAATGTTTTGAATAATCTGGGCAGTAAAATGAGTCCCTTGATCAGAGTCAATAGACCTAGGGGGGCCAAACCTAGGAATGACATGGTTTAATAAGGTCTTTCCCACTTCCAAGGCAGTTGCTCGTCTAGTTGGGAATGCTTCAGTCCATCCAGTCAGTTGACACACGATTACAAGGAGGTACTTGTAGCCCTGGCACTTAGGCATTTCTGAGTAGTCAATTTGAAGTCGCTCGAAGGGTGTGTGTGCACATAACTTGGCTTCAGGGGGGCTTTTAGGTTCCCCCCTTGGGGGGGAACCTGCTTTCTAATTCTGCACAGCTGTCCAGCCACCAATAACAAAGAGGGAGGCTGGGCTCCCAAGGTCATCTCTGTGAAGTTTAAATGCAACATTTTACAGAAGCAGCATTGTTTGCAATACAGACAGCACTGATTCAGTGCTTTAAAACACAGCCAGTACTCACACACCTGTCACTAACTGGCTGATCCCAGGCAAGCACACATGAGCCACAAGACCCCCAAAATGGTGAGTAGCCGCAGGGGCAGGGTAAATCACTCTTCCCGGACCCTGCTGTACACTGGGCACGTGGCTCTTGGGGAGAGACAGCACTGTAGGGGGGCCTGATAATCATTCCTTTCCTAACACTTTCCACAGCATATTATGGAAGATATCTCGCTGCTGAGGGTGAGCAGGGAATCAGGGGAGTGTCTTCTCCAAGACTGCGGCTTCCCCCCTGACCCCTATGTGGCTCGCCTGTATGCAGCAATGGTAGGCATTCTACATTTCCTTCACTTTGACCCTGCACTCCAGTGTGTCCCGGTCATAGCCTCTTTGTCATGCATCGTGAAATCTGTCCATAGGTATCATAATTCCTATGATTGGAGCATAGCTAGGACTGGACTTCTCTCCCCAAATGCTGATGTAGTCCAGCAGCTCAGCATTGCTCTAAGCGGGGAATCGCCTGGTGCATGGAGCAAGCATAATCACCTGGAAAGATGCGCTGAGACCACTGCATGCATTACCAAGCAAACAGGAAGGGGACTTTCAAAATTCCAAAGGAATTTACGGGGTGGGGATGACAGTTGGCCACCTGAGGGCAGGGCAGTAGAGTTCAAACCAATGACCAGAGAGGCAAGAACAGGCATTGTGGGACACCTCCCAGTGGCCAGTCACAGTGCTGTAATCGCTGTAAACCACATATCTACACTGGCACCGAAGCGCTGTAGCCCTGGCGCAGAAATCTGTACGCTTCTCGTTGGGATGGTTTTTTTACAGTGCTGCAACTGTGCAGTTTCTGCGCACTAAGTGGCTTGGCAGTGTATACACCTCGGGAGTTACAACACAGAAACTTGCCAGTGTAGACAGTGCCTCAGATTCCTTTTTCGAGAATAGGCTCAGCTGGGTTGCTGAAATAAACAAGAACTCTTCACTCCAAAACTACTTAGTCCCCTTGTGCTTCCCTACCCCAATAAAGATTAAAACATTAATAAAATTAATTCACTAGGTGCTACTCTATGTTCTTGCCCTCCATTAGCTTTCCAAAATAGACATATTGTATGTACTTGAATTACCTATCTCTGTGTTTTTGCTTCCGAGTTTTAAAAACCCATTTGTTAAATGTATTTCAAAAACAGATGTTAACAGAGTAATTCTAGGCCTAATCCTGCAACCTGGTCCACCTGGGCTGCATCCTACACAGGACTGCCCTGCAGTCAATGTAGCATGACCTCAGTGGTTTGCAGAGTAATTTACAAGATCGGGGCCTGTATTCCTAAAAATTTTTTAGGTTAGATGCTGGTAACAATGAAACCGGTTTGTCACACGGGGGCAGCACTGAACAATGGATTTTGGCCTTTTAGGGATTGTATATTTAAAACATTTCTGAATGCTAATACATATTGCATCATTTGATTTCCTGAACCAAGAGAAAGTTGGTTCAGCACACAATTTCCAAACAAAAAATACAGTCACTGCCAAAGAAGTTGAAAAGAAGCCAATAGGTAATGTATCGAGACTCTACACAATGCCCACTCTATGGGTTTGTCTACACTGGAACTTCATCGGCAAAAAAAACACACAACCCGAATGACAAAAGTACCGATGAAAAGCGTCGGTGTGAACAGCGTTTAGTTGGCAGGAGCGCTCTCCTGCCGACAGAGGTGCTGCAGCTCATGGGGGGTGGAAGTTTTTTGTCGGCAGGAGACACAGCTGTGTCGCTAAAAGCCTCGTAGTGTAGCCATAGCCCACATTAATCTTTAGTCCACTTTTGAGTTAGAGATATACATGGTGAAAGAGAAATGGTGTTAAATGCAGGCAAGATTTTAACTACATTAATTATAAATTTTCCTGCTGTGCTTTTGGAACATGCTGGAGCTTATGCCTCTGTAAACAAAGCTGTGATTGGCACGTAGGGGATTTTAATGTCTCATTAAGTTTTCAAAGACCCCATGCCATAGATTTTACTAATCCATATAGACAATATAATTTATGCTGAATGTTTCAAAAATACTGTGTGTTATATAATATGGGGTTTCTGGGAAGTACTCTTAATAAAGTAGAAGTTCAGCATGTCTACCAGAAGGAAGCAACAAAACTATTAGAGATTTGTTATTGGCAATTATGGCTCAACTTGACAGCAGAATCCTCTTGCTGCTCTCTGGGTGAAATCTTGGCCCCACCGAAGAAAATGGCAAAACTCCCATTGAATTCAATAGGGTCAGGATTTCACTCTCTATAATGCCTCAGCACAATATGAATGTTTTTTCCATATTACAAACTGGCTTTTATAAATCTACCATAGTGGCAGTAACATAGATATTTCCAGGCAATGTATCCCTTTTTGTTTTGTTTGCAAAATGCACCATACGTGCTGACTGATGTAGTCTTGCAATGTTCTGCCAATTGAGAACTCTGGTTGGCATCCTTCTGCTCTATACTATTATATTTTTTTAAGGGTCACTGTTAAAAGCCTGTTTCTTTACACAGTATTTTATTTCTTAGTTAATGCTTTGGATTTACCATTGTCTGCTACCTTACTTAAACTTACTGTAAAACTGATTGTGGTAATCCTTAATAAATTAAGGATTTATTTATTATTTATTAAATTTTGTGGTTTAAAACTCAGTAGTGAGATATAACATGTGTGGATTTCACAACAGGCCTAAACCGAAAGCTTTTTTGGAATCAAGGCTGAAAATACTAGCTAGGACCTCCATCTTACTTTATCCATAGCTGTGGTTGCTATTTTTCTGGTGTAAGGATATTCTATTGACTGCCTAAAGCATTCCTTACACGTTCCTTTGGTGACTGTATTCTTGAAAGCATTTTGTCATATTCTGCCACCATGGAGGTATAAGAAGTATCATTTTTTCTGACATGTCATTTATCTTATCTCGTTCCTTCCAATAAATATTTTCATTTTACATTCTCAAATGAAACATTTTAATGTACCCATCTGCTATGAGTGTCATCTTACGGCAATACGGGGACCTGATTCTGTTCTGTTCAAAAAGAGGGGGAGTTCTGACATTGACTTCACTGGGAATCTGTCCATTAGATTTCTTCAGTCTTTTGTAAGTAATCGATACTGCTTTGTTGGTATATAGAGTTATGATTTACATACAAATCTTTCCTTGTTTGTTTTTTTTAGTGCTTTGCTGTGCGCTCTTTGGGCTGGGTAGAAATGGCAGAAGAAGATCTAGCTCCTGGAAAAAGCAGTGTTGCTGTGAACAATTGCATCAGACAACTGTCTTACTGTAAAAATGATATCAGAGACACAGTTGGCATATGGGGAGAGGTAAGAGTATGGTGTGAACTTTCTTTACATTACCCTTTTTCCCACTTTAAATACACTCTGCCCACTCCATAAGATATCTTTAAAAATACACACAAGCATGTTAGTTTTCCACCCAGTTTTAAATGTTATTGAACAAAAATTAAATACCCTAATTTTCTATGTATTCTTTAATGGAAAAAAAAGTAAAGAAGCAGAGCAAGCTTGGGACTGCTGTATCAGCAGCTGTTGCTGGCAAAAAGGAGAAGAAAATTTGAGAGTGAACTTGATTTTTGTTTCTTGGAGGTTAGGAGAGCAGGTGTCACAAAGGCCATAATCAAATTGTTGTGTCTCCACTTCATATGTTAGATATGCTGCATGACAAGTCCAATAATACAATTATTAAATGGCTGTATACTGTACAGTTTGTTAATAAAACATCTGCTATAAACTGAAGATAAGGGTCAAATACAGGGGTGATGCGTAAGGTGGTAGAAGTTACTCTAATATTCCTTTATATTCTCACTGTTATAAGCTCAGATCCAAAGTCATTGAAATCAGTGGAAATCCTTGTATTGATTAAAGAGGGCTTTGTTTCAGTGCCTATTCCATTCTCACACCTTTTAACAACAGGAAAGGAAATGTAAGGAACTTCAACTTGGTGCATCTTTTGCTTCTAGATCCTAGAGGCTATGGGTGATCTATTTTAACATAGGCTTTCTTAAACCCTCTGCCAAGTTTTTTTCTTGTTATGCTGCTCTCTACTGGCCCCTTAGCATATGAGTTACACCAGCTTAGATTTCCTGCGCTCTTTGATCCAAATGCAGAAGTGATATGTAAAGAGAATGAAAATGACACTGGTAATTGTAGCAGTGTGGCCTAGTGGATAGAGCACTGGCCTGGGACTCAGGAGACTTGGTTCTGCCACTGACCTTTGGGTGATCTTGGGAAAGTCATTTCACCTCTCTGTGCCTCAATTTCCCCATCTGTAAAATGTGGATAATGATACTGACCTTCTTTGTAAACTGTGTAAATCCAGATGGAGCCTAACTGGTGTAAATGTACACTCTAGGCTTACTCTTTTAGATGCACCTGTGAGTCTGACCTACTGGGAGTGAGGTTTTTAAAAACAAGAAAATTACCCACCCACCGCCAAAAGAAGTGTTTGGTTAATGGAGAGTGCAAACAGAAATTATGATTTTAGACTTTTTATGTTTCTTTGCCTGCCAGTGTTTGCTTATTAAGAAACAAGACAAGCAGACCTTCATTTCTGGGCTGATTAAAGGTTGAGAGCAGCGTGGAAGTTGAGTTGTCCAGGAGCGTGCGTGCGTGTGTGTGTGTGTTTGATTGTACCATTTTGGGGGGGAGAAAGATGTTTGATTTCTGAAAGGAATTCTCCTTTTGTCTTCCATACGCTGACTATGACCAGGGTTTTCAAACGGGGGGTTGGGAAGTTATTACATGGGGGATCGCGAGCTGTCAGTCTCCACTAGGGTGACCAGATGTCCCATTTTTAAAGGGACAGTCCTGTTTTTTGGGACCTTTTCTTATATGCCTATTACCTCCCACCCCTGTCCCATTTTGTCACAGTTGCTATCTGGTCACCCTAGCCTCCACCCCAAACCTGGTTTGCCTCCAGCATTTATAATGGTGTTAAATATATAAAAAAGTGTTTTTAATTTATAAGGGGGGGGGTCGCACTCAGAGGCCTGCTATATGAAAGTGGTCACCAGTACAAAAGTTTGAGAAGTCACGTGTCCTGTAATTGCATCAATATGGGACCTGAGGTGACAAAGTGTTTGCTAGGGGGCTAGAGCACTATTCATCAGGCCAGAATGCTCCATGGTGGTAGTTGGGGAACGAGTGATTAAAATGGAAGGAGGGGGACGGACGCTTATTTCCATATTCCAAGATCACAGACATTTCCTCCATTTCATAGTGGGCGGATGCCATTTTCAATTCATGGCACTGCCCTTTGGCCTATCATCGGCCACAAGGGTGTTCACAAATAGTATGGAGCCAGTGGCTGCTTACCTGAGACATTGAGGAGTCCAGGTCTTCCCATATCTCAACGACTGACTCATCAAGGGCAGGTCTCAGGAACAGGAGCAGAGGAGCCTCTATTTGGTGCGTTCCATCTGCTGCGACCTGCGCCTGTTAATAAACGAGAAAAAATCCACCTTGAGGCCGGTCCAGTGAATAGAGTTCATTGGGGCAGTTCTCGACACCATGCGAGCCAGAGCCTGCCTTCCTCTAGCACGTTTTCAGGCCATGTCAGACCTGTTCTCCCACATAAAGAACCACCGCTCACCACGGCTCACACCTGCTTGCGGTTGTTGGGCCATATGGCCACATGTTCATACATGGTCAGTCATGCCAGCCTCCATCTCGGGCCACTGCAAGTGTGGCTGGCATTGGTCTACATCCTCATCAGGCATGACCTAGACCGGATAGTCAGGATGCCGGATCACATCCAGTCGTCCCTGGATTGGTGATTGGAGGGACTCGTGTCAGTGTTGGAGGGAGTTTCCTTCGCGAACCTGTCCCTGTCGCTGACCCTGGTCTCTAATGCTTTGGACCTGGGCCTCCATATCAACGTCAGGGAGCTCAGAGCACTTTGCTTGGCCTACCAGGCTTTCCTGCCCCACGGGAAGGGCAAGGTGGTGCAGGTTCTGACAGACAATACCACTGCAATGTATTACAACAACAGGCAGAGCGGAGCCAGGTTGTCAGCCCTTTGCCAAGAAACTCTCCGCCTTTGGGACTTCTGTGTGCAGCATGCCATTCATCTGGTAGGTGCGCACCTGCCGGGGCCAAGAACGTGGTAGCAGATCGCCTCAGCAGGACCTTCTTGTCTCGCCATGAGTGGTCTCTCCACCCAGAGACGGTCAGTGCAATCTTCCAGAAGTGGCGGACTCCCCAGGTGGACCTGTTCGCGTCCAGGCAGAACAGGAAATGCCACATATTTTGTTCGATCCAGGGGATGGACAGGGGTTCCCTATCAGATGCATTTCTCCTCCCATGGTCGGGGGCTTTGATGTATGCCTTCCTGCCAGTGCCGTTGATTCACAGAGTCCTAGTGAAGATCAAACAGGACAAGGCGAAGGTTATCCTGATAGCCCCCACGTGGCCTCACCAGCACTGGTTCAGCATGCTGCTGGACCATTCAGTAGCTGCCCCACTGCGGCTACCCCTTAGGCCGGATCTGCTGTCCCAGAGCTACAGCTGCACCCAAACCTAGCAGCACTGCACTTGACAGCCTGGCTACCGCATGACTGAATGTGGACGAACAGAAATGCTTGGCCCAGGTCAGCAGGTCTTGTTGGGTAGCAGAAACCCTCCACCAGAGTGACTTACCTGGCCAAATGGAAAAGGTTCACGTGCTGGGCCTCAGATCGGCGTGTTGGAGCTGAGCAGGCCCTGCTGCAGGAGATCCTGGATTATCTGCTGAACCTCAAACTCCCAGGTTTGTCCTGATCATCAGTCAAGGTCCACCTGGCCTCTATCTCAGCTTTTCACCCTTCATTCCAAGGCAGCTCAATCTTTGCTCACGACATGACAGGCTGGTTTTTGAAAGGTTTGGAGTGTCTCTACCCACACATCCAGGATCCCATCCCTCCCTGGGACCTGAATCTCATGCTGTCAAGGCTCATGGGGCCTCCCTTCAAGCCTCTGGCTTCCTGCTCTCTCCTGCTTCTCTCCTGGAAGGTTCCGTTCCTGGTTGTGATAATGTCGGCCTACAGGGTGTCCGAGATCAGGGCGCTTACTTGGGAGCTGCCCTATACGGTCTTCTACAAGGATAAGGTCCAGCTGCGACTGCACCCAGCATTTCTGCCTAAGATAATTTCCCAGTTTCATACGGGACAGGACATATACTTACCCGTCTTCTTATACGTCAGATGAGGAATGCAGGCTACACACCCTGGATGTCAGAAGGGTGCTGGCCTTCTACATAGATGGAACAAAGCCATTCTGTAAGTCAACGTAGTTGTTTTGTTGCGGTGGCAGACAGAATGAAAGGTTGCCCAGTGTCTGTTCAAAAGATTTCGTCCTGGATCATGGCCTGCATCCGCTATTGCTATGAGCTGGCAAAAGTGCCTCCGCCGGAAATCGTGACGGCACACTCAACCAGCGTGCAAGCATCATCAGTGGCCTTCCTGGTGCAGGCAGCAATCCAAGAGAGCTGTAGGACTGCTACCTGGTCGTCCTTCTGCACGTTCACATCTCATTATCTACTTACTGAGCAAGCTCGAGATGATGCTGGCTTTGGCAGAGCAGTGTTGCAAGCTGCACAACCATAAACTCTAAGCCCACCTCCATGGATACTGCTTGTGAGTCACCTAGAATGGAATCGACATGAGCAAGCATTTGAAGAAAAAAACGGTTACCTAACGTTTCGTAACTGTTGTTCTTCGAGATGTGTTGCTCACGTCCATTCTATTACCCACCCTCCTGCCCCTCTGTCGGAGTTGCCAGAAAGAAGGAACTGAGAGGGCGTAGGACCAGTAGTGCCTGATAGACCGATGCAGGAGCGTGGCACTCAAGGACGCGCCACAGCTGACCTACGGATACCGCTAAGGCAAAAATCTCCAACAGCCACACGTGGGCACACGCACACCTGGAATGGAATGGACATGAGCAACACATCTCAAAGAACAACTGTTACGAAAGATAGGTAACATTTTTTTCATCCCAAGCCACTGTCATGGCCTTAAGGCCTGTGTTCTCTTCCCTGGTTATGATCAGAATGAAGCACAGAGATTTCAGCGTGGAATTTGGGAGTGTGGAGGTATTTAGAACACAAAAATTAAAATAAACGTGGCTTAATCTATAGTTTTGGAAAGATTGTTGATTTATTTGTTTTAAGTTATTTTGAATGTTAAAAATCTTTTCTAATTGAAAACTTTAATGTGTTTAAAATATGTGTGTATGGAACCCACAGCTAAACATCTCTTCACAGCTCCAAATGTCTCTTCACCAACCGAGTCTCAAGTAGGCATTGACATGATACAGTCAGTGATTGAATAACTTTCGTGTGTATCAGGATGACAAGTTGTTAAGTGTCTTATGATAGGCTGTGCTTTGTAAAAGACTTTATCTTATTATCATAAAAAATCTATCTTTTCAGGAGGAGGGTGTTAAAGGAAATTGGGTCACAAATTACTGAGTTAGTACCATATTCTTCTCACCTTATTCACATGAGTAGTCCCACAGAGTCAATCTAAACAGACAAGCAATACAATTCAGACACAGAGGAGTAAATAGATTCCCACTTATTTTAGAAGAAATTCTTGTAACAACACTTCTTGGTTGGCAGATCACTGATAGGTTGTATGGAAGAAGCATGTTTAAAGGAGGGAGCTGGATGAAGAGAGAAAGATGTCAACAAATTGAAGGGAAATCAGAAGGAATACAGAATATGTACAGCAAAAAATTAAGTTGAAAGAGTTGATTTAAGATTAAGTTTTTAGGACTAGTTTGGCTGAAATATTATTAAATGGGGTTGAGGATTGGAACCATCTGTCAGTATTTCACCCCAAAGAGGAGATAAATTGTTCCAGGTAGACAAGATGACATAATAATGCTTTCTCATTTCTAATTTCCACAATTCTGTGAAATCAAAGGGATGAAAGAAGACCACATAATCTGTTTTGCTGCTTCACCACATACTACGTTGTCATTTTTGCCACATACTGTACAGATTATTTACCTTACAAACTATATTGCTGCAGCAATGTATCTCACTAAAAATAGCTTCCACCAACAGTCTTCTAGGATCAAACTCTCTTCTTTAATTTTATAGTAAAATCTCAATGAACTAATTGGGGATTAACGAGTTCATAAAATCAAAATCTTCATAAAATGTAACATCTCAAAATTACAGTAGGTATGGTGCGTAAATTGCAGTATGGTACACTACATCGCTGCTTTCTTGTCCTTCATACCACTAGAAAGAGGTTTCCAATGCATTGAAGGTATCCAAATGTGAAGGGATGTCAACTTGTTCTTCATCAACATCAATTTATTTATGACACTCCCCCACACACCCTATGGGAACCATTTAACTGGTCATTCTCAAGACTGGTGCTCTTAAAATCGAGGTTCTGCTGTATTTTATTTCCCTGAGTTGTTTTGTTTGTCAGAAGCCTTTCCCACGCACCTCCTTTCCCTGCTCCCCCATGGCTTGTAGCAGGTTTTTGCAGTCTCTTCAGAATTCTTTGACAGTCAGTGAGGACACACAGAATGTGGCCAGGTTTATCCTGTCTCTTTGTATTTAGATTCCTAGAGTGTCTAAATAATTTCTGGTTGTCTGCTGCTACACCATCTCCATCACTATAATAGCCTTTGTATAATAAGGAAACAAAAATTGTGCAAAATATATTGCAGTTGGCCTGTGCTGAGCCATCCCTTGTGTATGCTAGAATAATTTCTTTTGATTTATGTTCAGTATGTCCCATATCTGCCTGGTCTCCAACCCTGTTCAAATCTTTAGAATGTAGTTTTATTGCCCTAATTCCAGCATTATGATCAGCAGATTTTACTTTCTTGCAATAATTTCTTCCAGGTCATTGCCACATAAATAAATGTGTAAATAGAAAATTGGTCTAAATACCCAGCAATGTTCTCTTTCGTGAGCTATTTTCAGTGTCTTTGGTCTCTTAACAAATTCTTTATCCTTTTTTCTTTTTCATAGTTCTTGTATTTTTATTCAGCCACCTTAGAAATCAGAGTGACTCATCTTGCTCTGCTTTTGTACTTTATTCCTTCCTTACTTTTTTGCTCTTCTACTCTTATTTCTTTTGTGCAATAAGCTACTTCATTAGTATTAATTCCCCATTAACCATTTGTTTATTGCAACTGCATCTTCTTTTCCTCCCCCGAGATAACTTTTTGTGTGTATTTCCTTCCTTACATTTCCTTCAGACCGCTGTCTCCTCTCTCTGGCAAGACGTTGCCTTCCCTTTTTTTCCTCCAGATGTTGTTCATCCCTCCATGTGTAAATCCATTCTGTTACAGAAAGAGCTCCATTGTACAAGCAAATAAAATAAACAGTCCCTTCCAAGCCAAAAGAAATGCCTGACAGTCAGGGACACAGAATTAGAAACACTATTAAAACTTGAGCAGTGGCAATCTGAAAAAGGGCTGCCATATCATTGAGATGTACAAAAATAAGAGAGTAATTTCTAAATCCTCTGTCAGTGTGTGATCAGATTCCTTCCACTCTGAAAGGCATATGGATGGTGTCTCAAGAGTAGGGAAACAAATTCTCCCGTACTAAGTGGGGACCCCCCCACAGTCCATCCCTTTTTGATCAATATTTTCTCTTACAGTAACTCCAGTATCATTTCCATGGGGCCCTGCAATTCTCCCTGGATTACTGTTTGAGAAGATATACCAAATCAGACGAGAGAAACTGATTTCCGAGCCTCCTTTGACTGCAGTGTGTACTTCTCTCTGGGAAGCTTAAAAGACAGAACAACCTAATATTAGGGCAGAGGTGGCTAGGATATAGAGAGTACTAATAATAGAAAGAATTATCATTCCTAAATTGTCATCAAAGGGAAGAATATCACAAAAAATTGGTTCCTTTTCTTAGAATCTTCAACCAAGAAAAATGCAAATACTCACAAGCCGAAAGACAGGATGAAATCCTGGCTCCGTTGAAGTCAATGGCAAAACTCCCACTGACTTCAGTGAGGGTAGGGTTCAGCCTCAATGCCATCCTCTCCAATAGCCCTTTTAACTGTGAAATGGAAGCTGAGGAAAAGAAAGCATGGCCCATTATATCATCTGATGTAAATAGTATGTTTCTCCTCCTTAAAAGATTACTGGTTTTGTTGTTTGTTGCTAAGGTTTTAATATTAAGAATTGTCTTGTATTTTATGATGTTTAATTTTTTTCTCAGGGAAACGAATAACCAAAAAACTTGTGTATTGAATATCTGAATGTCATGTGACCTTAAGATTGTTATTAATTCTACCGAGCCAATAAAACCAATTACATTTTACAAATTGAAAACAATTATTTTCTCCAGTTTCGTTTATTAAAAAAAATAAGTAAAGTAAAATGTTATCTTGGACCTTTTTAAACAAGAAGTCAGCTTGTTTTCAAATGCACTCAGAATAAATTGAAACCTTGAGTCAATCAAATGACTCAATGATATTTAACAGTGCAAATAAAGAAAACAGACGCATCTTGAGTTTTGAGCTGATTTACTTTGCATGAAGAATAAATTTTATAATGTTTGTTTTGTTTTGAATTATAGGGAAAAGACATGTACCTTATACTGGAGAATGACATGCTAAATTTGGTTGACCCCATGGATCACACCATTCTTCATTCTCAGCCCATTGTGAGCATCAGAGTCTGGGGAGTGGGTCGTGACAATGGACGGTGAGTTTACAATCTCCTAAGTCTTTGTTGCTTTGTGCTGTTGAAATCGACTAATGTGTATATATGCTGGGTGTATATATGCTGACCAAGTGAAGCATCACGAATAGCCATTTTATTGTGTGATTATGTTCCAGTAACTATGGGAGTATTTATATTCATTTCAGAGTAGCAGCCGTGTTAGTCTGTATCCGCAAAAAGAACAGGAGTACTTGTGGCACCTTAGCGACTAACAGATTTATTAGAGCATACGCTTTCGTGGGCTACAGATTTATTAGCGCATACGCTTTCGTGGGCAGTAGCCCACGAAAGCGTATGCTCTAATAAATCTGTTAGTCGCTAAGGTGCCACAAGTACTCCTGTTCTTTTTATATTCATTATATTTGTTAGGTAAATTACTTAAAAAAACCAACACACCCCTTTCTTTTTCAGACCTCCTTATAGCACATTTTGCAAAATGATATTTGGATAAGATATTCAAAGGGCTTCAACTTGGCCTGTAAAGTTATTTATGCGACTTTTATATTCACAAAGAATAAACCTATTTATGCTTGCAGATCAGGTAGTTAAGTACTAAATTACATGAATTAGATGTGGAAATAATTGTTTGCATGTCCAAAATCAAGGGATAATTTTTCAAATGTAGTCCTTAGCGCATTTATCTTGCAAGGTATACATTTCTCCAGTATATAGTAAAGAAAGTATTTACATAGTTCCGTTTCCACTTCCTGGTACATTACAGTTGATAAAAGTAGAAAGTGAACTTGTTTTCCCCCGCTGGTGTTTTTAAAGACTTTGAGTCAGGAATGCACTTAAACATGTGTTTAGTTCCCATTGAAGTCAAGTTAAGCATGTGCTCAAGTGCTTTCCTGAAGTGGGATAGACTTAAACATGTACTTAGAGCCTTACTGAATCAGGGACTTAGCTATCTTTTGCTTCATACTTTGTGCTCATCCCCAGCCAGTCCGCTTTCAGCTCTCTCTGTTTTTCAGCCTTGCCATTGGCACAAATATGTTTCCTTTTGATGTGGCATTGTTGCAGGAATATAACTATTAAAATGGCTTGTGTTCTCTCTCCCAAAAGGAATGGCAGTAAATTGAATTTGTAATAAGTTATAATAGGGGAATCAGAGTGGTTGTGCCTGGTAGCTCAGTGAACTCTTGAGCTGTTTTTTTGCTGACTATTGTATTGTTGCACCCCGTCAGATGTAAAACAAGCTGTTTGACCTGTACATTTCTAGTACATGTCACATCAGCATGTTGGCTTTCAGGGTTGGCGAAATGTCTGTTAGTCTTTCTTGGCAAAAGAAAAGTCTTGAGTTAGAATTAATACTTTCAAAAGGTGCTAGATTGATAACACTCAAAACTGAAGCCTTCTGATTAGTCAGGTGGCAGCAATGAAAGCCAAGGCTTATCTGCCCTATCAATGTGCTTCAAGCTTGGCCCGAAGGGATCACTTTAAGAGAGTGACTAAGTAGGTCAGGCTGCACCATCCACGGCCTCTCTTTTGGAACCCTTGCCAAGGCCACCTGTAGCACTCGGGCTTTTATGATGCAGAAACTCAATCACTGAAACCCCTTGCTCATTTCACATAAAGCTGCCAAATAGCCAGTTGGATGGTTTTGACTTTTGGTCAGCACAGACCTGGTCCATATTTGAACCAGTGACCTTGAAGTGAATGTTTCTGTGACCCAATATTATTCCCCATAGCCATTCATTCCTCTGAATGACAGGTATTTTTTGTTGCATTTTTAGTTTCTTTGGTTCAGATTTTTGAGAGATTTATAAGGACAAATCCAATTTGAAATGCTGGGAAGCAAAGAGGTTTTAAATTCTCATGAATAAAACATTAAAGTGCTTCCTTTGCTTGAGAAAATGAACCCATTTCACATTTCCCTTCAAGTCAGATTTTCTAGTAGCTTTCTTTGGTTAGAAAATGGAGCATCTTTGGGGACATTTTGATATGGTACAGTTGAACAGTAAAAGTACATTATAACAAATGTCTGAAGGACAGAGAAAGGCTTTTACTGCATACCCAAATGATTTATTTACAGAATTTGAGAAGACAGTTCGCTTTTCTGTTAGCTCTTTGTTTTCAAATATTTCAGATTCTCTGGATGATAACATTATATTGTTGTGATATTTGTCCACTAATTGTTAAACTCCAATACACCATACTACATACCCACTAGTCAGAGATTTAACAGATTTCAGAAATATCCCACATTTGTGATGTATGTAATGACGTTAGAACACCTAGCAGTTATAATTAGTTATTTGGAATCATTTAAGACAGTTGTACCCATTTTGCTCACTGCAATGTTGAGAAAGTTCACGTGCTGCTGGATGAAATTTCTCCAGGGGTGGAGAGGCATGCATGAGCCACACTGTACCACGTAAGCCACCTAATGGGTGGGAGAGGTGACAGAGAGAAAGAGTGAGCATGCAAGTGCAGAGCAGGTGGTCTCCATATCTGACCCAAATAGGTCAGTGCAGATGGACTCATTGGGGATGACCTGGAGGAGAGGCACAAAACCCTCCATGTAGGAGGCACATAAGGGCAGTAACTGCAATCCCAGCCCATTGCAGTACCATGTCCTGCCCAGGGGCTGAATTCCAGCCCTGCCCAGTTTCCTGCACAAAGCCTCATTACTCTCATCTACCCATGATAAGAAATGTTTATTTGCCATAGATAATGCGGCTGTGAAATACAAATCTTAGTTAATTTTTAAGTAAAGTAATGTCTATGCTGCCTCCTGCGGATGGCTGAAAAGTGACTTCGTTTGTGACATCAGCAATACAGAAAACCATGTCAGAGATGATCGAACCAGTTTTCTCTCCTTAACATCAGAAGAGAAACGTGGCTGTTTTGTATTATAATTAATAAATAATAATGTTTGCACAATAAATTACTTTTTCTGATTGGATGTTGTTGATAACAGCAAGGAGAAAACAGAATTATTGAAGCTTTAATATATAAACATGGAACTAAAAATAGCCCACAATATCTCCTTTGCTGTCACGTACAAAAATGTCCCTTTTAGAGTTACTGTGCTGTGAGCTATGCTTTTTCATCAAAAGTAGTTTCTCTTCCAGAGCCTTCAGTTTTTTTCTTTTCCTTGTATGAATCTTGGTAAAGAGGCCACATGTTTTTTAAATACTGTACAAAGTCTTCTTCCTTCAGGTGTTTAGACCTTGAGCTTACCTACATTTTTCTCAAATTAAGTTTGTTTAAATTTTTATGCATCTATTGGATTAGAGAGGGTTCTAGAACAAACAATACAGCCATTGCCTATAAATAAACTCATACAGTATGTGCTGTTAATTAGCAGGTAATTTTTTCAAAACAAAGCAACATGAACAAAATGACAGCTATGAATCGTCAAAATTACAATGAGAATTTGGGGGCTATGGAGGCTCCATGCAATGAATGTTCTTTGAAGGACAGCATAAATAATGCAAGGTTTGCTGAGCAAGCCTCAGTAGCCAGAGAAGGGGCATTTGTGACGAGAGAACTTGAGCTATGGCTGAACTCCTAAGTTAGAGAGGTCAAGTGCTCTGTTGTGTGGGTCACAGTTAGATGCAGGACACTTGGATATAACTGGAACATACTGCAACCTGTGGTCCCTGGGATATACATCTCTGTATTCAATTGGATGTCACTCCCCTGCCCTTTTGTATATAAAGATAAGTGCAGGCGTGAGCTCATCCTGGCAAGTAGTCTGTTTGGTCCTCAACAGGGTGAAGTCAGAGTACTCCTTGCGTACAGGTAGAGGGAGAAGCTGCCATCATCAGAGAAATCAGAGAGAGAGAGAGATTAGGAGACACACAAATGCATAATCTCTTTTGTGTGTCCTGTGTGGATTAATTTTAAGGAAGTCTGTAAAATCATTACTTCTAGCATGAAATGCTTTGATATAATCTTGTTGCACGTGGATGTTAATAATATATTAATACACAGTAATGACTTGCTTTCCAAATCCTGTAGTGCCATCCATAGTACACATATTCTCTTCTGTTTGTTGTGAAAGGAAGTGATCATTTAGAACAATACAGAAACTCAAACTTTTTGCATGTTGAGCTATTTAAACGTCATTGCTCTCTCCAGGTCCTCGTTTTTAACAGTATTTTCCTTGTACTACTTTGGTTGGATTTTGTGTTGGAAAGATGAAAGGTTTTCTAATGATACCTGACTGGTGATTTTCTAAGCTGTGCGGTAATGAAAGATTGATGAAATATAGAGATCTGCTGATGAAAGTTTAATCTGAGGATATGTCTGCTAGCTCACCTCAGGCAGAAGAGTCTTCTGGGAGACTCTAATAATTCTCTCCATACGCAACGCTATTAACTTGACCTCTAGAGTTAATTTCTTTTTAATACAGTTCTGTGATAAGGAAAAGCTTCAGGATTTACTTGACCATTTTGCTGACTTAAACTGTGTGATTATTTCATATGTTGAAAAGTGATTTTCTTGCCTTCAGTTAATCATGCCGTGACACTAATACTTTTTGATGAAGTAATCTAACCTTAAGAAAGACTATTCTACCTTTTATAAAGTAGTTAACCAAACGAGTTCCTATAAGAGAGGGGGAGAGGGTGTCTGGGGGGGTGTACAAATACATATGTACTATGCTATGACTCTGAGCTACTGTATTTGATTACATACTATGATTTGTGATAATTATGAGAGCAAAAAGAAAGTAATGCGTATATGTCCTTCCTCTTGTCCTAGTTTCTGTTTCATACACATGAAAGATAAACATAATTTTCAGAGTGAAACCCATTTTTCTTAGTCATCCGTTAAATCTCCCTTTGTCCTGGCAGTATAATTGAGAATCACAGCAGGAAATATTAAAAAATAAGGAAAATCTTAAATGTCACTTCAGTTTTGTTTGGTTTCAAGGCAGTAAAGAACAGCTCATTGTTGGGGATTGTGATATATGAGGTAAAGCCTGCAAATCACAGTCGTATGTTTAACTTCACTTCATGTACTGTACATACTGCAATCAGTGCTTAAAAACAGTGA